GCATCACCTAGACAACTGAATGAGTACTTTCAACATTTATTTAGCTTGAGAGCAATTCTCTAAGCTGTATCAATCTAAACATTCAGATTCCTCGTTTATAATCTCAGTTTGTTTACACAAGATCCCAATATTAATAAATTTTTCATAGATGAAAACTGCAAAAGCTAATTACTAACATATTTTCATTACCATATTTCCATTCATTATTGAGAAGGGAATTTCCCTTTAGCATTCATGGTTTCCTAGAAGGAAAATTTTCCTTAATTAAACTACAAAGTGTTTCATTTAAATGCACTACTTGAAATTGAAACTATTAAAGAAATTACAAGACAAATGGAAGAGGATCTGCAGCTATATTAACATTCATTAACTTATTATCATAATGAAAATTTATTGTACAATTGTCCCATAAGAAACTACCGATGGAAAATGTTTCTTTCTGAGTTCAATCTACTCCATCCATTTGCGAATAGAATCAACTTTAAGGGGGGAAATCTTGGGATTTCGCCCCTTCCCCTATACATTAACTTGTTTTGGAGACCCTGTTAAGATCATTTGCATACTGAAATCATGCCAAGATCATTCCCAGCCCGCTCCACTGAAACCCTAAACTTTTCTCACAGATTCCATAAGCTCATGTTGACTCCTGGCAAATTCCCAACAAACCCAGCAGATTCACATAGTGCTCAACCGATTGGCATGTGTATTTAGTTCTCAAACACTAGATTTTGCTCATTCATTGTGAATGTCTTTAACTTCAAATGTTTTTCTATTTTATTTCAGCATACACATGTTTTGTACAAATCTATGCTTAGGGTTTAGGATTCAAAAAAGTGATGATCCCGCTATATGCTATCTTGATGTAGAATTATTGGGATGGACTACTCCACTCCATTATATGACAATGACAGCTACGATTAGTGCAAAAACTACTTGGCTTCAAAATTATCACATGAAATGTCCAAGAAACACAGACCCTGTACTAACTCGAGACTCCACCAACTTTGAGAGCTGTGTGAGCGCCTCCCTTGAGACCTTAGCCTTATGAAGGTCGCTGTCTTGCCTGTACCCTTCTTCACCAGCAATGTATGCATGTCCTGATTTTATGTCTGTACAACCATACTCAAATAAATAATAATAAAGAATAAAGAATCAAACACATATATCACCACAATCATAATTAACAAAATAAAAAACAAATCAGAATTAAAGAATTCTTGTTCTAGTTCTTTTCTTTTTCATTGGAGGGAGAGAAAACTAAACCAATACCATGGTGCTTAAACAAAGCAATACCACAAAACCCGGAAAATAAAAATTTCAATTTCGGTGACCCATAAGCGCAAAATCTTCGAGAAACGAAGCAAGAACAAAACTTGGTGTGTAATCAAAAATGGAATTGGTGTCAGCTACGTGTGATTGCAAAGGGAAAGTGGGAGAGATTACCAGAGTATCTTCGGTAAATCTCAAAGATGTCGATCCGAGAGGCATCCATGGTGAACTTTGCCCTCCGAAGCTCTTGAACCAAGCAGCGAGCAGAGAAGAGAGGGACACAGATAGGAGAGTTGTTCTTTAATAATCCAATGTATTCCAAACCCAAGGGAGTTTCAAATTTTCGTTTTATTTTTTCTCCAACGAATGTTTTATATTTTTTGTTTTTATTTGAAACAAAGTTGAAGAAGTATTGCTACAAAAATACAATTATTAAAATATAAATAACTTTAAAAAGTTTTAATTTTGCTCCAACTTTATGTTTTATTTGATGCAAAATAGAGTAAATATTGGTACAACAATACTATTAGGGAGCTGATATTTTGACACTAATTTAATGCTCTTACATTCAACTGACAGGGATCTAAACATCTATTATTTTCACTAATTTTTATCTAAACATTATTTGATTGTGTCGTCAACAATAAAATGATTATTAATTTGAAGAATACATGTGTAAATAAGTATAAATATTTAAGTCTTATGCTATTAGTATTTACCACCATCTAAAATTTTCCTTAAATCTATAACTAAATTGATATCTTTGTCCTAACTATATCACATTTAACCAATTTTGGTCATTGACTTTTCTTGTGCAAATTTTGCCCTAAATTAAAATGTTACAAATTTAGCTCTGAAAACCATATTGGATTAGTTAGTCGAGATTGATGGAGTTGAAGAAGAGGAGAACATTTGTTGAAGTCCAACCCAACAAAACCTTATTCATTTCTTTTATCGAAACATCATGTTGAAGATAAAAAATCTTAAATAATTATTGTAGAAAATTTGAAAGGAAATTCGATGAAAATTTTACCGTTTAAGAGATTAATGTAATTACATTGTGTGGAGGTAGAAAGATTCCAATTCCTAATAGCTTAGTCATTTTAAAATCCAATTCGTAATTAACATTTCTTTATATCTCATGACACGCACTAGTAGCTATTGTTGAGTTTATTTTAAGTTTTTATGGGTTTAGAGATGTTATCCAGTTAAAAAAACACAACAACAACAAAATTATTTAGTCTTCACTGAGTTAATCCTAAACAAACCAATAAACATAACAGAAAAAAAAATCGTATTATGTAACTTCTGACAGTGAATTTATTGACTAAGAGCATTAGAGTAAGATTTTTTTATTTAATACTTCATTGCTTAAAATTTATGAGGACTGTTAGTTATTAATTTAATGAATATATTTTCAATCAATTTTCAGGCAATTACGGACACATGTTTAAACTCTTTTTAAAAAAAAGAAACACTTTCTTTTATAATATTAACCTCAACTAACCAACATTTAGCCTCAACTAACCAACCTGTCATGTTTAACTTTTTTTTTCTATTACGTGATCTCGATTAATATTTATAACTAGTTTTTATAAGTAGGTGTTTCATTAAAAAAATAAATAAAAAATAAAAAATAAAAAATTTGACAAACTATCTTTTCCTCATTCGTTTAGATTCAGTTTTTGTTTTTGTTTTTCATTTAGTTAGATTTAATGTCAAACAAATTTCTTGCGAAGGTTCTACGTATAAGTGATGTTTCCTTAATGGTTAATTTTCTCCCTCTATTTCTATTTGACATTCAAAAATCAATTAAATTAATATTAATTACATTTTTTTAGTAGCCAATTTTAAGTTAATATTCATGATTGGTTTTCACCCACAGATGATGGATTCAAAATTATACCTTTTTGGTTTAATTTAACGTTTTTTTTAACATAAACCCTTCATTACAATTTACGACCTTTTTCTTTGTATGTCTTTGAAGGAAACAAAATACAAGGTTACTGTCATGGTCTCTCACCTTGAAATCTCACATCAAAACATAAGTGCATGCTTTGTTTACGTAGCATCTCCCTCTCTTCCAAAAAATGGCAGTAACAATTAAAGAACAATGTACTTACTATATTTTAGCTCATTGAATTATAATTAGCAACTAGAAACAAAAACACAATCTCTATAAATCAGTGTTATTCCATCATAGATTTACATACTATCCCCACAAGTTATTCATCAAGGACAAAATATAATCACTTATGAAATAACATGAATTTGGAGATATTGCAAACAAAACAAGTCAGTATAATGCTAGCGACATTTGAACAAAACATCCCTCCAATTATCTATCAACTACAAAAGAGAACCACTTGTGCAATAACATGAGTTTGGGGTTATTAAGAATAAAAATAGTCAGTGTTATCCTATCTAGGTACATTTGAACACATCAGCATTCAGATGAATTCGGTCAGCAGAACATGATATTTGCTTAGCGCTACCCTTTTGAGTGTTAAAATAATCCCGAAGAAGTGGAAGTATTTGAAGCCAATCCAATCTAAGCAAGTACCAACAATAACTAGAAAGGCTGTGCCAACATATTAGAGAAATAAAACTAAAGGGCAAAGTCAGTCCCTCGAGTTTTCGTCCAACTTAGTCTTAGCCATGAAATTCCTCTGGGGGCAATACTTATGTCTTTAAGAATGCAATTTCAATAGAAGAAATTAGTCAGATTAAGAACAAACATTAGAGAACCAGATCAAATGGACTATTCCCCTTTCGTTCCCCTCTCTGATAATAAGTTAAGCTCATTGAATCTCCTATACATTAAAAGGGAGACTTCGGCCCTCGCATTTCTAATATATGGTGGAATTAATTCCCGAAGCCATCTCACATGTAGGTGACATGTGATTTAATCAAGACTAATGGAGTTAGAGTGAGATACTAATTCCACCAATTTCCAGAAATGTAAGGACCAAACAAATTGATTTTCTATGTACAAAAACTAACATTAAATCCAACGGATGATAGAGAGCCTTAAAACACGTTTAAAACTTAAATAATTCAAGTACATTTCAAAGTGAGGATCACCTAGAGGGATAAAAAGAGAGAGAGGCTGAAGGTCACATTTCATGGTCCAAAATTGCTTTGCTGTATATAACTAACCGTCTTTCTGATATGAGATAACAAGTATAATGTGAAGCTAAGTACATGCCACTAGATGCACCAGGATCAATAAAAGCCCAATAAACAAGCACAGGGTATTAGACATTATACAACAAACTTAAAAAATGAGACACCAACAGAGGGAATGACAATAATTTTCAAAGTTGTATCTTTACAGTTCCGAATTCAATTTTCAAAAAAATAATAGCAATTCTTACAGAAAACCAATGCTTACAGATAACTGTATAAAAGATTTGTGGTAGTCGAGCAAACTCCAGGGTTAAGAGTTAAACAATTCACGAAATTAATGGAGAAAGTGCAGATAAATGTACTGAAGAATCAAGCACGAGAGAATATTAAATTTCAGCTTCAAAACAACAACTCTAAAATTGGTCCTCAACAAGGTTCAATTCAACTGCATTCATAAGACCAGAACAACCACTTACTCCATCATAACCTGTATAAAAATATTGAAATCATGATCATGCACATCCAATTTTCACAGAAACTGAAACCATGAGAAACAGTAATAAAAAAAACAGAAGCACGAAATTAGAAGAACAATGAAGTAATTCAATTAAAATCAAAGGATTCTTATATTCCCAGGTATAAATAACCAAACTGTGTATGATCCATAGTTCCTTACAACTTATTGCCAAGGTGGAGGGGCTTATTCAAAAGAAAACCTAAATCTAAATAGAATATGATCAGATAACTATAACCAACTCCTCTGCCAATTTAGGACTTACATACTGTATCCAATTATCCTCTCCTTCCTATTAGACTTTTTGTTTTCCCTTTTCTGATCTACTTCTTGCTCTTTCGATTCTTCTTCGGTCCCGGAACTTCCAACCTACCAACAGAACAGCCACACCTTCCTCTGAGGACAAGGACAGCCCTTCCATTGGGAGGTGCCATCTTCTTGAGCTCGGCCTCAAGTTCGCGGTGGTGATCACAAGGAAGCTTAAACAACCCCTTCTTAACCCCACTATCCTTAGCCAATGAAGGTGAATTCTTCACACAATCCTCAGTCTCCAATTGAATGTCAAACTCTGCAGCCTTCCTCAGACCCTTGCAATCGGGGTTCCCACACTTCCTTGTGGTGCAAGCCACAAGAACCCAAGTGGTCAATGCAGCAAACGTAACACTGACACCAATGAACATGTAAACCCACGGGGCAACAGAAACCTCCTCTTTGACCAAATCCACGATCACAACACCAATTTTGACACTCTCACTCGCCACAATTTGGGCGTAGGGGAACAGCAAGAACCCAAAAGCCGCGATAACCGCCACGAAAATCACAACGTCCACCACCGCCGACCGGGATCGTCGGCAGGGCGTAGCCTGAGGGGAGTTTGGGGTTTTCCGGTGCCTCGATTTCGAGCCGAAATCGAGGGAATTCGCCATGGGTTGGCCAAGAGAGGAGTTGCAGAGAGAGATTGAGCTGTGGAAATAGACCATTTCAATCACAACCCTAGAAACGCCCAAATTGAATCAAACCCAGATCAGAAACGACGTATCGTACAACGACCCACTTCGCCAAAAACGAAAAAGCTTAGAATTTCGGAATGATCCAGAGGATTAAAGATCCGGGGGCGCCCCTTGATGGATCCAAAGCTAGCAAAACTTTTAGGGTTTTTTTCTTCTTGAAGAAAATTGGCCAGCTGTGCAACAGTAATAATAATAAGAACAATAGAAGAGAATGGAGAGATGAAGGGAAAATGGGAGTGAGAAATGAGAGGGGTGGGAGAGAAAGGGCATAAGAAGAGGAAGAAGAGGAAGCGTCACTGCTTCATTGCTTTTGTTGTTATGGACGAATGGACGGTATAAATATTATGACTATGAAGCAGCAGGAGACACGTTCGTTCGTTCTCAAAAGAAAGCGTAGTGGATAGGTTGTTTGTTTTGGTTTCTTCCTTTGGTTATCGCAAGCACTTTGAGGGTCAAATATCAAATGGTCAACGATGGATGATGATGATGATGAATTTTGGAAATGGGAAGTAAATTGGTAATTAACATGTTTGGATTTATGCAAAGGACACGGTTTTGTGTTCCAGAGTGTTGTGTGGGAGTGAGTGGGGTGTGGTAATAGGGCTTCCCTTATTTGTCAATCATTTTATGGGATACTTACTTCTCCTCTGCCCTTACCTACATTTCCTTTTAAGGTACCACTCCCACGTAAACATGTCTTTACTTTCCTATTACTTACTAATTTCCTCTTTTAATTTCATTCCATTTTTAAAAAGATTTTAACTTATTAATTTTTCAATTTAGTCTTTTAATTTTTTTTAAATATTATATTTTATCACTTTTCTAATTTCACTACTGATTTTCTGTTTATCATGCTAGTCTAAGAAAAATAAATTTAAGATTCTAGTTAATGGAGAAGACAAATAGTAGATAATTGGTTGAAAATTTAAAAGATCAGCAAGTACCCAAAATCACCAAATTGGATGTTTTTACAAAACTAAAGGATTAAATTTGATGTTTTTAAAAACTAAATTAAAAAAAGTAATAATTAGAGTTTTTTTTTTTAAATTCAAATAAAATTCACCCATCCCAGAATTACTCTAGGCTAAGCACACTTAACCATGGAGTTCTTATGAGTCAGGCTACCGAAAAGTAAATGCATTTTGGTGATATGAGTAGTCAAATCAATTCCTTTAAGCTATCCTTCAACTGTATAGTCCCATACCTATACAGTCTCCAAATCCCTCTCATTCCGGTGTATGTTCGATTCATCCATGTACCCCTTCCACCCGAAGCTGCCAGGAGCCGCTCCTTGTCTGTGCCCCCTGCACCATGCTTCTTGCACCGGCGTCACTCCCCGCCCTCGTCTCCGTGCCCGGGTGTCACATGCTTTGTGAGTAAAAAAAGAAAAAGATTTATACTTGGTGTATGTACAGTTCAAACTTTTCTTATGTGGTGGTAACTATTTTCTTAAACAAACAAATTAGAAATATGTCATACATTATTTTTGTACATTATTCATAAACTAGTTAAATTTAAGCTCAATATTAAATGAAATAATAAACTAACAACATATTCGTCTTACTAAGGTATTAGGCAAGATAAAAGAGTAATAGGTAAAATAAAAAAGTATTAAAGACAAGACAAAAAATAATAGGTAAAATAAAAAAAGTATTAGACAAGACAAAAAAGTATAATAATTGTATAAAATATGATATAAAGTCAATACATATGACAAAGTCAAAAAAATATCAAAAAGTACAATATTATTAAGAATGATACCATGTCAAAATATTATACAAGGTCGAAAATATCTCACCATAATCATTTAAAGGATAATATAAATTTAAAACCAATCATTTATGAAAATATGACTAAAACACGTTATCAAAAATAATGTTGATTTATCCCTAAAACTCATTTTAATAATAAGAATATAAGACAGACAATTATTTTCAAAGTATAGAACAGAAGTATTATTGTTTATTATACAATTGTATTAATTATTATTCATTATATTACCTTTGAATATAGAAAGTATCTTTTGTTTGTGAATACCTTTATCATTGAAATCAAGATCCTGAAAACTAACAAACAACAGTAAATTGAAAATTTTAAATATAAAGATTAGTCAACATGATAATATGATATTTGTTGAAAAATTAAAACATTGACATCAACCGAAAATAATATCATCCAATATAAATTGGAAAAAAATGTTTTTTCCATAAGTCAAAATATAGTAAATTAATTTTAAATAAGAAAACACTAGCCAACATTGGTTGAAAAATGCATTGATATAAATTTGAAGAAAAACAAAAAAAAAATTCTTACCTTTTTAGATAAAATTTAAAATTATTTAATTTAAGTAGTCCAATTACTCATAAAATTTTACAATTTCAACTTTTTTTGAAATTTTCTATCCAACCAACATATTTTATCATAGAACATTTTCATTCTTCTGTAAAAATAATTATAACCTTAAAATTTGCTATCGCAATATAGTATAAAAAGTATAACTAATAAATTATAATTAATTCAGAATAAAAAAATTTAAAAAGCTAGACAAAGTTCAAATTCAAATTGATCATTATTCGAAAACAAGTCTGTTGTGAAAAATAATGTTAAGAAAACCTTCCCCATCTGACAATGAAATCTTCCATTTTGTTGATTGTCATCTAACGATAACTTAGCTTAAGTCTCTTTTTTTTATGACATAGAGGCTAATTAACAAAATCCATTGTATACCTTTGTAATGCTATTTTATATAAAATTATTATATTATTATTAACTGTTATGAAAGTACCAAAAGTTTTATTAGTATCATTTTAAGATTTAATTATTTGTTGTATATTTAATCACTAATAAAAATAATAGATAAATTAGATCAACCTGAGGTGTATATTAGATCTATTTCGAAATCAATTTAATATACATCAATGTAATATGTTAAAGACATATTAGATCTATTATGGAAAACTAATCTAAAATTTAAAACACCTCTGAACCATTACATTCAAACATCCACATGCTTGAGTTTGAAATGAAAGGTCTAAGCTCTTTATTCTGCCTATGTTGTCTTTCAACCCATTGTCTATATTCAATTTCCAAAGCAACAATAACTATTTCATATAATAAAAAGACTAATAAGAAAAATGTAGCAAGATATACTCATAATGTTGCACACATAAGGAAAAAAAAGGGCTAGAGTGACACAAAAAATTAGTGTTCTCTCGGTGCTTTCTCTTGTTCCCCTCTTCTCCCAATTTCCAATCTTGAATTGAAGAGTTCATTACCGACTTTGATTCTATCACTTACATACCTCCTATGGATAACAAAAGGGATCAATCAAAAGACAAATTTAACACAAAGACGTATGTTTACATACTATGTTTGGGTGGAAGGAATCCTGAATTATTCTTTAAAACGGTTAAAATAAAACAATAGTCATAATCAAGGATAATTTATATAAACATAATAAATTATTGTAATTAGTTCAAATAATATCAAAAATTTATTCCTGAATAAAAAAAAATGAGATATGGATGTAATCATGTGATAGGATATAATTTCTTTTACCATAACGATACCAACAAAACAACAAAGATGCAATTGTATTTTCTTATTGATGTATCTAACATTTTAAAACTCTTTTTCGAAGATTTAATAAAGAAGAAAAGTTAGAAGAATAAAAGGAATAGGTAGAAAGCAAAGTAACCAAAACAACATGGTTCCTCGTTTAAGTCAAAAGACTTCAACTCGAACCACACCTTCTTAATGTCTAAACTAAAACATTGGATAGCAAGCAACATGATTTTGGTCATGGTCATCAGGTCTCACCTAGCAAGAGCTAATAACCCAACAAGTTTTGTAGGCTGAAAACATGAAAGCATTGTTACAAACATTGCACTAACACAGTCCAAGGTTTAGTTTAACAAGTCGTTTATAGAATGTTTTTCTTTTGGATTTCAATCTCATATATGAAACATATAAAGAGGAAGGGAACAAAGTGCAAAGAAAAGAAAACTTTGTTGACCTCATCTCGTGGGAAAAACTATATCCGTTTATAACAAGTTTCTCATCTTTTTATTTATATTTTGTCATTCTCTATGAGTTCTAAATCCTATTTCATTATAGTCAAATAATCAAACTCTCTTATATTTTTCTAATTATATTTATACACATTATTATATTCTTTTCTACGTTAATGTTGTCATTTCTTTATGTTTATGGTTAATACAGTTTGATGATGCATAACTAATGAAATCGTACAGGGTTGAAATTTTCTCATAAGTTTTAACTTAGAAAGTACCGATTCATAAATTATTGGTGACCCACCACAAATATAACCCAGCTTGTTCGATAACTTCTAAATCATTAACTTAGTTGTAAGCTTATTTATTGACTGGTAAGGGATTGTAATTTAATATGTTATATTTATATTTACTTTAAGATATAAGAGATATCTTTTTATGATAAGATTAATGAAAAATAAAATAAAAACAATTTTTTTTAATTTAATAAAGAAGATAATGAAGTAGTAAAAGTCTAAAAGATAATTAACTTTTGTTACTTAATTCTCAAGTCAACAAAATTTTAAATTCATTTTACTTAGTTAAATAAAAATAAAAAGTACAACTTCGAAATTACGTTTAATATTTAAAAGAATCACATCCAAACCTTAAAAACTTACATTAAAAAAACTCATGAAGATACTCACTTCGGCAATGAATATATTTAGAGTGCAATTGTTGGTTAAATTGACTTTGAAACTTCTATTTTAATAATCAATAAGTTATGCTCTTTTCATCAACCAAGTCATGAAACATAATAGATTGAAACTATAAATAAGCTAGACAAACAGATCTCAAATTTACTTTTAAAAATTAGCCAAGTCCAGAATTTAAATTTAAGAAAATTAAACATTGAATATATATAATTTTTGACAATCCAAATTCCGAAGTTGAAAGGAGTCTAAACATTGTACGCAAAACAAGTGGCAGTTAGATTGGAAGAAAAGTGCAAGTTGTGTAGAACTTTAGAGTATTTGCAGGTGCAATAGCAAAAAAAGAAAGAAAAAAGAGAGTTATTGATTGGGAGAAGTTGAAAAGCAAGTAAAGTGAAGAATGTGTTGGTGGAAACTAGGATAGGAGACAGACACGCAGAGTGATAGATACCCAAACGTGTGTGTCTGTGTGTGCATATTTGGTTGAGCATGAGAAAGGAGAAAGCAAAGGAGAGAGAGAAAAGAGAAGCAAAAAGTAAGAAAAAGAAAGATCTTTTTAAGGCCACAAAGAAGCTTGTGGCTGAAATTGCAGGTACATTCTGATGTGGCACTCCTACCTGCTTCACCGGATCAACAACAAAACGCACAATCAACCACACTCTCACACAACGTGTCACACCCATTCTCTCTCTATCTACACTTTTTCCCTTTCTCTCTCTAACCTTTTTCAGTTTTTATTTTTTTCCCCTTTCAGACAAATA